ATAGAGTCAAAGATGTTAGAATTGTGTTGATGTCCCAATATTTCTGGACCTGACTGTATATAGTACCCAATCTTACTATTACTAAGTTTGCAATACTGCTGCACAAATAGCTTTTTTTTTTTTCCTTCTTAACTGCAGCATTTCTACAGATTGTAAAAGCAGCATAATATTATCCTACTGGTGGCAGAAGTTTCACAGGGTAATAAGAGGTTTCTTTAAAATGTATATTAAATATGTAAAGCAAAATATATATGTACATAAAATGGAGTGGTTTTACTCAGATAACAATAAAATCTGCTTCTCCTTTGCTGAAAATGTAGTAATATGTTTAATAGTGTCTGCCCATAACATTATGATTACACAGAGATTATCCTTCCATATATCCCTGTTTTACAGTTCCTGAACCAAACACATACAGTGAATCTGCGGTTGAGCTGGTAGCTATGTATAAGACTGTATGATCCTTCTACTGCTCTAATGCAGATATCTTCCAACAAATGCATGGAGGGATTCTGTAGCATCTAAAGAGAGCCTGTAAACCAGTCCACGCAATGCCATTTTCCCTAGTTAATCTCCTCATTGTATATGAGGAACTGGATTTATATAGATTCTATACAAATATTACAAAGCCATAAAGATATCTGGGAATGTCAGAGATGGAGTAGGCAAGTTTCAATCTATTTTTTTTTTCTCAGCAGCACTTTTATAATGATATCCCAACATGGTACTATTTTAAGTGAGGCATTGTAAGGAAGAATCATGACCCACTGCAATGCTACTTGTAATTTTGTAAAGTTGTGGAGCAATTATATTGTTTAAAATAGAAAAGAGCAAAACTTAACGTTAAAACACTTGGCTGCTTTTCAAAATGAGGCCACCTGCAGTTTCATCTCATCCATTTTCCAGTCCCAAAAGTCTGCTCAGTTTCATGGACTAGGAATGAGCATGTGGAAATCAGATGACATTTTCAGTTACATAACTGATGAAAGTGCACTGCTATTCCATGTTGTTCAACATCCAGAATATCAAAAGGAACATCTGTCATGTCCACAAAGTAGCTTAACCAAGCCTGTACTTTGCCTTGGCTTGTATAATGAATAAATATGTTCCAAAATTAAAGTTTCCCAATGTTCCATATCTATTTGTATCTTCGAGAGCACTAGGAGAGGCTCCTAAACAATGTGGGTAGGAATATTTCTACCAAGGAAAAGAAGAACAGAAAACTTTCCTTATAGGCATTTCCTAAAGATACAGTAACTTATTTTAAGATTAAGACTGAATTGAGGTTATTTCTTCTTTCCATGGTATCCCACATTTCAAGAAAGCCCCTTAGTGCTCCCAAAAAATGTTTTGGGGGATGCAGATGGTGCAGAAAGAGCAAAGTAGAAAGCTCTCTTTTATGACATGGAAGGAAGTGAGGACGATCCATGTGGAAAAGTACGTTATGTGCACTGATATGGTATTGATTTTTACTGGAGTAAATTGCAATAAGAATGGTAGAAATGGGTGGGGAGATATGCTGAAACAGATTGCTGAAATAATGCTCAGTTCCAGATATTCAGGGAGGAAGTAAATAATAGTGCATATAATTTTTATTTGATTGTTCTCCCTTTATCTACTTAGATGACTCAGAACATAAGATCTCTGGACCACAACACAATGAATTCTTAGTCTAAATCAAGACAATAGCATCACTCAAACACAATTTCATAGGAACACCACATGAATTATGATGCCCCTTTACCAACCTTCACATGATTCTCCACTAGGTGAAAACATGCCATTATCGTGGTAACCATCCCTGCACTCACAGTGGTACCATCCAGGTAGGTTAATACAGGTGGCACGGCTGTCACATTGAACAAAGCCATCTGAACATTCATCAATATCTGCTCAATAAATAGAAAACAACATAAACCATAGTATCAGTCCACAGAAATGACTGTTATTTGTGGACACATAAGAGAAATTGATATACAAAAAGTATTTAAGTTCTACAGTCTGAGATTCAGTATACTGAAAAGGAACTGAAGTGTTATAGGTGTTTCTTTTTGTAAAGATGCAGGATGAGAAATAAATGCGAACTCTGAACAAAATAACACCATTAAATTACACTCAGTATTCTTGAAACACTTCTAATTCATTCAATTAAGATAAAGGAGAAGCATGCTCTGTGTCACTACCCATGGCAAGCAGAAAAAGTCATTCTAGAAATCGGGTTATTTCTAACCATTATCCCTTCTCCCATCTCTTACATCAGGCTGCCTCTTATAAACCGACAGTATCTATTTCTATAGTATGACAGGATATTAAATCATAACTCCCATTCTTGTAGAGGTAACACTGCTAGGAATTCTTTTTTTAAAAAATTGTTTTTCAAATAGGAAGACTACTCCAAAACACATTATGAATATGAATTGCATCATCTACTGTCATAATTAGCACATTTCCCAAACTGAAACAAACTGTTTTTCTAAATCTACAGTACATCTCTCAACTCTTGCAATGGAAAGTATTCCAAGAAGGAGAGGAATTAAATATATAGAGTTTTTTAAAAGAATGTATGGAAAAGTAACAAATAGCTTACAATGAATTAATTCAAACAATTGAAGAGGAGATGAATTGGTATTTATAAAATAAATGTATCCCATTCTTTCACAATATCATAACATTCCATTATATCTCGAGACAAAATTTAGGAATCCTTTATTTTATTTACTAAAGTTCTTATCTGCAATTATGCCACACAAAATGCTTTTTGAATTTTTCTCCCATCCCCCACAACAGTGTGCATAGATAAAAAGGGGTAACCGAGGATGTGAATATTACAAAATGTTGACATGATATTTAAATAGTCTGACCGTGTATACTCAAATTCCGTTTACAATGGAAGCGCTTTTTAAAAAAATAAAGCCAATATTCTCAAATATTTTTACAAGTTGATTGGATTCTTTATTTTTTAATTTCATCTTTCCTTCAAGAGCTTAAGGGTTAGACTTACATGGTACCCCTTTGTCCATTTTTCCCCCAAACTATAACTCGGTCATAGGTTTGACTGACAGACAGCATAATGGGCCTAATTCACACAGTGAATTAGCTGATGATTAACTTGAACCTGGGTCTCCCAAGTCCTAGTCCAATACCTTAATTACTACATGACTCTAGGTCTTACACCCAGGCCTTCCAGTTATTCCCAGGAGTGAACCTAAATTTCTCTGCAATTATTTTTAGCTCTTCACATCATCCCTTTTAAATGCTTTTGATTCTCCACACATCTGAAGATAAAGGTACTGATATTTTGCTTTCAAAGTTACAAAAGAAAATCTACAGACAGTTCCCAGATACCAAAGAAGTGGGCTGTGCCACAGAACTCAGATGTTCAAGATGCTCTTTGAAAACCTAACACCATTTCTCCTTTGCCCCTGACCTCTACACATTCTTGGAATGTAGCTGTAAAAACAATGCCTCAAAAGAGTTTTAAAATTAAAGAACAAGATCAGTGAAAATTGTGTGTCTTTAGAGACAAGGAAACTAAGAAAACCTTTACTGTTACATGGGGGCATTGATATGGACATGTGCTATGGCACATAGAAGGGCATAAAAGCTTGCAGTAGAGAATCTTATTGTGTACCTTAGATTCCCCTTGGCATAGCAATTCTATCATAAACTGTGAAAGTTAAATCTACCATAGTCAGTTAGTTAATCAGATCTCTGGTAGCTCATATCAGTAGACAGATTATTTCACAGAAGTACATTCTTCTCTGTCGGTCTATCCTCCATCCATCCTTCCATCCTGTCTTAGTCCACCCCCTTATTATGTTATTATGCTAATTATGTCATTATGTTAGTGGTTAACTAACATAACCACTGTTGCTGAAGAAAAGAATACAAAGCAGTTGCTCTACGTTAACAGTGAGAAATGGAGTGCAGTTTCATGAATTTCATTTGAAGGTGTGCCTTAACCGAAATCTAGACATGGCAAAGTGCCCCTTCAAAGATCTTCCCTGCCCTCATGGTCAGTATTTATACAGCATAAGACCTAGCTGAGAATGGCAAAAATCTCTCTGGCAAAATCTTAGAAACAATTTAAGGTTTGCTGCACAGGGAGGGAAGTAAGACCTCACTAATCTTCATTTAGAACAAATCTTTGTAACAGTAATTTTTTTTAAGGACCTGCATCCATTTTATGATTAGATAGATAGCATCACTGAAGCAATGAACATGAAACTGGGCAAACTCCGTGAGGCAGTGAAGGACAGGAAGGCCTGGTGTGATATGGTTCATGGGGTCACGAAGAGTCGGACACGACTAAACGACTGAACAACAACAATCCATTTTATGCAAATCCTCTACCACAACAGAACACTTCAGAAAGAATATGCCAGAAACCAAGTGATTGTCTTCCAAATTGGCCTGAACAATATCAGCTTTGAAATTTCAGTTCCATTTTGGAGATTTGGAAAGACACAGAGACACAATGTGTCTGCAAACATTTATACAGAACTATGCCATTTTTGTACACTTTCTCGGAAAATCTATGGGAAGAGTAAATCCTTTCTCTTTCTGCTAGGAATCTCTGGCTAGGAAACAGTAGAACAGTCCTTTTTATATACAGTATGTATTTAGAGCTCAACTTGATAAATATTATTATCTCTTTGTGGTGCTCTATATATCCAGCTCTATAAATTCCCATTTGAAGATCACCTAATTCTGTCTTTCACATTTTTGGGGGGGTGGGGGTGGGGGGAGTGCCTTTAAGTCAATGTTGACTTGGTGATGCCTGGGTAAATCTCCAAAATTTTCTTAGCAATATTTCAGAAATGGCTTGCCATTGCCTTCTTCCTAGGGCTGAGAGATAGTGACAGGTCCATGGTCAACCAGCTGGTTTCCTGTTCAAGACAGGACTAGAACTCACAATCTCACAGTTTCTAGCTAGGTGCCTTCACCACAACATCAAACTAATGCTCTCCACCTAATTAACTGTCTCTAACTTTGTTCCCAATAGATTACATACATACATACATTAAACACACATACATACATTAAAATGACTCATTGTTTAATTCTGGCTCTTGCTGTCAATAATTGCTCCACTTCTTTTGTTGAAGACCTCTGTATTGACTTTTTCAACTAGCAAAGCATACAATAATTTTCATACATATTTCTCATTTAACAAGAGGAAAGGATAAACATCTGACTTTTTAACTTCCCAAGCATAATGCCTGCTGATATCAAGCTCTATTGCTTTATAAGAAAAAATATCCTGCAATTTTTATCCAATTCTGTTTCAGTCTAAAACTTCTGTAGGTAACTCCCTGCTTGCATAAAATCACTGCATCTATTTGTCCAACATCTGATAGACTTTTCTCCACTCAAAAGACCATGTTTTAATCTAATTCTGTAAATACTAAAAAATAAAGGTCTAGCATAAATAAAGGTCCTCATTATTTTTAATTGGAAAGTATGGCAATTTAAGATTCAGATTTGGACCTAAGCCAAAGTGGGTATCAAACAATCCAGACTTTCTAAATCAATCCACAGCAGAAGGTACCCAAAATTGTGCCTGCTGCTACTTTGACATTAGCCAGTTTTAAAAAAATCCTTTCAAAATACTGAATGATAGATCTTTCAATATTGAGAGATAGGATTCTTTTATTAAGAAACATTGGGTAGAAAGTGTATGACTTAGGTCAAAATGACATCAATTAATTGAACAAATTCTACATTGTTTCTCTAAGAAAAACTTATTTGTGAAGCTGCAAGGTCCCCAATTATGAGTCCAACACTGCAGTGTGCATTCTGATGAACTCTTCTACTGATTATTCAGGAGGAAAAAGATTTTAAAGGGCACGTCAGTATTGGTAAGCTGACAGCTGAAATAACTCTTCGTATTTATTTGCCAACTAACTGGCAAACCAATATCACAAGAAATATTACTTAGACTGAAATGTGTAACATATGCCAAGAGTTTCTTGCCATTTCCTTATGTATGAATGCAAAATTGTTGAAAGGAGCATTGGATGAGTATTTGCTGCATATGAATTTGCTGATGGAAGAATTCTGCAGATCTTTAGAAATGAATGATTGCCTGCAACCATTTCCACTACAAATGCCTCCCTTGCTGAACAGCAATCCATTAGTCTATGAACAAAATGCAGAAAAGTAATTCTCTCAAATATCGGAGAACCAGATGTATTGAACCACTCAGAAACCAGGGTTTCTTAACATATGGATTGCAACAGCTAGACTAGTCATGAGACAATGAATGGAGGGTAATCTGGAAGCACCTTCCTCCTTTCTGAACAGGCTTAGCTCCCTGATGCAAAAGTATACTGAATCAAAGCAACACAGTGGTTCCATAGTCCTGTTTATTACTTTGTTTTGTTTCAAACAAGGAGAAATATGCTAAAAATACATGATGCTTCTATGCAAAGTCCAGCTATCTTACATGATGCTCACTCAGCGGAGGATATTGAAAAAGTGGGAGGAGATTTACAAGCATCAGGTTAGAAGGGAAGAAATTAGACTGTGATTGTTTTCCCATTGCAGCTGTGCCATAAGAAAAAGAGCACCAGCCTGCCAGTATTCTGCAAGATGCATCAGTTTAATAGCAGTTTAAGAGAAGCTGATTTAAGGCAAGGAAAACCCCTTTTTACCCCTATGGCTTTGATGAATGAGAGTCACTCTCTTCAAAATGAAACCCAAATTTCAGGAACTATTCAAGCTTTCTGTTCTAAAAATGGTACAAAACATTATTGACTTATTTTGAAATGGTTTTATTTTATAAAATTGTAAGGTTGTACCATTGTTTTATTTGATATATAGATTACATTTAATTATTAAAAATAAATGATATATTTATTTCTTACCCAACCATAACCCCAACAAA